AAAAATAATTTAAATTAATTGATAATTTTTTTATTATTCATTTATTAATCTATCATTCTTTCGATCATCAAAACGAATAGATGTCGAGCAGTTAATTGAATTTTTTGTTAACCATGTGAGTAAAGGCAGTTTTTCATGTGTTTTTATTTTTATCATATACATTTTTTGGACGAATTTAACTAATTTATTTAAAAATTTGGAAAAATAATTTGAATTTTGGTTGAATTTTCAGTCATTAAGGACTTTTTAGATGATAATTTGAGTTTATAGGATTGAAAGTTAGTCATCATCATCGTCATCATCATCATCGTCGTCGTCATCATCGTTTTCATCATCGTCATCACCACCACCACCACAATCATTATCATTATCATTAGCATCATTATCAGCACCGCTTCTAAAAGTAACGACATCACCATCAAGAATATCACATTATCAACATGAAGTTTAAAACATCGTCCTCAATTGTAGCATAATCACCATCATCATCATCATCACCAGCAACAACTACAACATCCCCATCATCACCATCATCATCGCCACCAACGACAACAACATCACAACCACCATCATCATCATCATCACCAACAACAGCATCACCAACATCATCATCACCAACCACAAAATAATTATCATTATCGCCACTACAATCATCTTCGAAATGTCGGCTTCTTATGTTGCATCGGCGATATTTTTTTCTCTGCTTGCATTTATGCAAACCATCCATACTACTACTACTATTACTACTACTGCCACCGCTGCTGTTGCTACTGCAGCTGCTACTGATGCTGTTACTAACAATACTCCTGATTTTATTTCAACTTTTTCCGGTATGAATCCAACTTCTCATACTGATAATACTGAGAACAACAACAACAACGAAAATAATAATCAAAATACAACTACTACTACTACTACGACTACTACTACTACTATTACTACTACTACTACAACCACTACTACTACCACCACTACTACTACTACCACCACTACTACTACTAATACTACTATTACCACCACTACTACTACCATTACTACTAATACTACTACAACTAATAATAATAATAATAATAATTATAATAATAATAATATAATTATTGCACGCTCTAATATTACCACTAATAGCAGATAGGCGTCTTCAAATAACTCATCATTTATCGGCGGATTTACTTCCACCACCACCACCACT